GATTGCCCAATCAATTAACTTATTGCTCACACAACCAAACCATAGTCCAGCATATGAAACCCTTTTATAGCTTGTCTTTGCAACTTAATCATACTTGAAATTCCATTATCTAACTACATGTGTTTACAAACCAGCGCCCACTTGTTTTAATTGACATTCTCTTCTGGCTGAGTGTCAAGAATTTTGGATATTGGTTTGTTTGTTGACTATATGCACCTTCTGCCTGTTTTGAACAGTGACTTTGGAAGCTGTTTCTGATCAGTGAATTTGTTGCAGGTGAAAGAATTATATGCCCATGCTTCTATTGTGAATGACCTTAGATTTGATATAGAAGGGGAATATATTGGAAGTTGTTCTGACGACGGATTGGTTGTTATTAACAACCTTTTTACCGATGAGTTAATGAAATTTGAGTACCATCGCCCCATGAAGGCAATTGCTTTGGATCCAGATGATACAAGGAAAATGTCTAGGAGGTTTATTGCTGGTGGCTTAGCTGGTAATTTATATTTATTCAAAGAAATGGTTGGGCTATTGGGATCAGGTTTATAAAATTATTGTAACTCTTAGCAGTACATATGTTCTGGATGGTATTTTTGGTCTGTTAACTAAAAAAATACCTTGTTCTCCTCCCCGAAAAAGGTTTTGCACTCTGGTGAAGGTTCAATACATGCTCTGAAGTGGAGAGTAAATCTTGTTGCTTGGGCGAATGATGCATGAGTGAAGGTGTATGATACTGCCAATGACTGACGAATAACATTTATCGAAGCTAAGATTGATACTGCCAATGCCCAAAAGCCCAACTTCCAACACCTACATTATTTTTGGTGAAGCTAATATTGAGGACTTGAGTTCATAACTACCAACTCAGGCATCTGAACAATTCAAGGCTCCTAATTCGAGAAATGTTGGAGCGAAGCCAGAATCCTATGGTATTTCTCCGAAAGAGGAAGATGTAGACGAGACTGATATTGATCCCAAGGATATCGAGTTGTTGGTGACTCAAGCTAGTGTGCCAAGATCAAGAGCTGTTAAAGCTCTCAAAGTTGCCAATGGAGACATTGTTGCTGCCATTATGGATCTTACTACTTAATGCTTAGAATTGACAGTGTTTTGTATTGTGGAGCTTACTACTTAATGCTCCAGGATGAAAAATGTATAGGGAGTTTGGGATAACCAAGGAAGCCGTTATTTCAACACTGTGATGTAGTTGAATTCAGTGATTCTCACGTTACCACTTTTCTATCTCAACACTAATTTGGCTACTATGAACAATTATATCTTTCTCAAAAAAATTCTATAGAAGATCTAGTCTAAAATAACACAACTCGATATTTCGATTTAAATCGCAAGTATATTATGAAGCCCGTTCTGAATTATAAACAATGTATCAAAAATCAAGCTACAAGTTTAAATTCCTAAACAAGCAAAGGACTCAAAATCAAACAACAAGCACAATAAAGAAAGCAACCGCCGTAGCTAGACATGATCACCGAAAACAAGATCGAGCCTGACACCAACTCAGGACAAAACTATTGAATTAACAGCACACGAGATATCAAATAAAGGTCTTATACCAGAATTTGCTACCGCAACTCTTCAGCATCAAGAAACTCGATACAACACGTCCACACAGATAAATAGTCCATTTTTCTTACTCAAATTTAACTCTCAAACAGAAAAATCTAACACATAATGCCTAAAATCCAAACCAATTAAATACAAAATTTAGAGTAAAATCCAAACCAATTAAATACAAAATTCAGAGTAAAATCCAAACCAGAATCCGATTCAGGGTTTGAGAAGTAACTTAGGGTTTGAGAAGACAACCCTGTTAAGATTCAAATTGATGGTGGTTGCTTTGACGGTGATTCACAATGACAGCGTCAGCGGTTGAGAAAAATGTCAGTTTCCCTCTTTCTCCAAGGACGTGAGCGGCGGTTTCTTAAAAAGAAGTGAAAAATACACATAAAAAGTGGAATGAATTCTCAGTTTTAGCGGGGAAAGGTGAAATGTTGGAGGACGACGGGTGGATATCAGCGCCGCAGTTGTGAGAGAATCTGAGGGTGAAGTTTCTGACAATTTTGAACGGGTAATGACAGTAGCTTCCCAGTCGATATAATACAGTTTTATTTTAATAATTTTTTATATTTCTCTTTAATAAATAGAGGTTGATTGAATTGTTTTGTTTATTTGATATTTTATAATATTATGAGTATATATAGTTTAATTTTGTATTTAATTTTTACTATAAAAATTATTTCTAAAATTTTGATATATAGTTTAATTTTAATACTTTAATTTTGGATATAATATTTTGAATTTAATTTTTGCTATAAAAATTATTTTTAAAATTAAAGTTTTATTTTGAGTATATATAAGATTTTTATTTTTATGTATTTTAAGTTTAATTTATTACTATAATTATATTTTATAAATGTTTTTAGTCATTTATTTATTCAAAATACATAGATTTATTTGGATCTGCCATTGGTTATAGATTGTGTTACTGGGTTTAAGGGGCGACAGTTGTTCTACCGCCGTGACATAAAATTTAGGACGACTCTTGAGACAGTCATGAACTTATTTGTAGGACGGTTTAATGATAACAATCGTAATATTTAATAATTTTTAAAAAATATAAGAGCGGTAGGTGTATACAGTCGTGAAACGCGTCTTTATATTAGAGTTACGACGGTTATCAAGTAATTGTCGCAATTTTTGTGTTATAAAACTCTAATTTTCTTGTTGTGAATGATCTTCTCCTAATTCTCTTTCAAGATTTCCGAGACAGTTTAATTGTACAACAACCTCCTGCTTCAATTGCGGAGATGTGACAGAACAAGACAACACACAAACATATATTTGAAAAATATATTATACACTAATGATATATTAAAAAGTAAATATTTGTATTAATCAAGCATAATCAACTCTCTATCATGCAATCTATAATTCTTGTATATTATACATATTTACGATCACTGAAACACATCGCAATATTTTTCAATATCAACATCCTCTCTATTTTTTTCACTTCTCATTTCTTCCATTACCAATGAAAATTCTACAATGTGACATTTATTTGGTCCATATATTTTCTATACACTTCTGAGCTTTTTAAAACTATAGCATAATGAAGAAGGGAAATAGAGAGAAGAAATGGAAAGGATTTTAATCCGCTTTTAGATATCTAAATAATAGACAAATTTGTTTATTGGAGAAAATAAATAAATAAGTTAGTTCAAAATAATGTGAGATAACGAGTACAAGTTTAAATATTAATGCTAATTGCACATGTTGTAATGGGTAGCATAAGTGAGCTCGGAACAAATCAAAATATGTGTTCCCAAATGTAGCTCTCTTTCACTTTCAATCTCGATACGCTAAACAGAGATTGCAATTTTTAATTATTTAATATTTATAACAAAAAATAAATTATTCAAGTACTACAGGTACATTGTAATAATCCACTACACCAAACTGTATTTGATTTGATTTTTATATAGCTTTGGTAGATGTAACATAAACAATTATTCAGAGTTAAAGTGTCTCTTTTCATATGGATTGTGGGGATGTCAATACCTAATATATCTTTCTTTATGCTTTCGTGATTCTGTTATCCCTCCTAGCATTTTAATTTAGAAGGTTATATGAAATATGAATACTTCCCACAGTTCTAATTTATAAGTAAAAAATGAAGATTATAATTAAAGCCAAAATATTAGCAATATTAAAATTAAAAGATAAACTTGATATTACCGAAGAATAACTTTTAGTAGGAATCTTGCCATCTAGGTGCAATTTCATTTGAAAAGTTTGGGAGGCTAATATAGTCTATATGTAACTAGAATCAATGAATCTAACCATTGTACTATTGTAGAATGAACCATCCTACTTTAAAGTTTAAAGATTTTTTTTTTATATATTTAATTATACACATATAAAAATATAGAAATATAATTAATTGATTTAAATATATAATTAATTTAATATATGTTAAAATATATAACTAATTCTTTGAGTTGAATTAATCATAATTTAATATATATAATATCTTGTAGTCATTCCAACCCAATGAATTAATCCTTGTTACTAATTCAATTCTATGTCACGAGTTATTTACTGTCATTTTCTTAATTATAATAATTATGAATAAAGAATATTTGATTTCAACAAAATCAATATTTTAATTATGTAATGTATTAATCTAGGGTCGGTTTGTTTTAATTTCATGTTCAAAATGACTTCTATAATATTATATATTTTTGTGTAAAAAAATTATAAATATTTTTCATAAAAACTTTAAATAAAAATTTAATTTAAATGTGAGAAAAGGAATGGTACACTAATAGTGTGAATTATTTTTATACTATCAACCAATGACAATCATGTGTTCCGACAAGTCAACTTATAAATTTTAAATTATTTATATAATTTAGCACTTTAAAATATTATAATTGAAATATTTCTTATACCGACTGTACACTACTATAAACTCTTTAAATATTTATTTTTAAAATATTATTTTAAATATTTTATTATTTTATTAACAAATTTAAATATTAAAATTTTAAAAAATCACTTAAAATTATTTCAAATAACTTTTCATTTTTAAGATACAACTTTTCAAAAAGATTATGATTTATATTTATTTTATAAAATATCTAAATTAGTATTTTAATTTTAAAAAAATGAATTTGGAAACTTATAATATTTTAAAATTATTTTTATAAAAAGTATTTTTAAAAATATATATATTTTTTAGGTTAAAGCAAATTTTAAAGTGAAATCTAGAAAAAAGAAAAAAAATTTAAAATAAAAGATATATGGAGAGTGATTTTGCGTATTATGTACTACTTCTACTACTAGCATCAACTGATCAACTATCATGTTCTGAAGAAACCGTAACACCTCTTTCTCTATGTTTCCACTTTCCCTGCACCCATTTCATCACCAATAGTAACGGAAAAAACCCCAAACGGAAAATTCAAACAAATATGCGGTTTTACATTCCGACGTTGCTGTTATCGTCGTTGATATGCTGCCTAATCACCTTACCGGTATCCGCCATGTACAGCAGCGGCTACCTCCCTCTACAACGTGCAGTTCCGCTTAGCCACCGCGTCGAAATACACACAATCAGAGCTCGCGATATACTTCGCCACGCTCGATTCTTGCGAGATGTTGGTGGCGTCGGTGGTGGTGTTGTCGACTTCACAGTTCAAGGCTCCTCCGATCCTTTTACCCGTGGGTATGGGTAATCCTCTTTTTCTATAACCTTATGGTGTAAATAGTTTGTTATTTCTATAAGCTCTCTAGTATAGCATATAGATTCAGCTTAACTTATATTCGAACTGTGTGTTTATTCTACAAGTACTTTTGTATAAGCACTTAATTAAGTTGTTTATTCATCTAACCAGGGCTAATTATTCATAATTTTGGTTTTCTTGTTCAGGTTGTATACTACAAAAGTAAAGATGGGAAATCCACCTAAGGAATTTAATGTTCAGATTGATACTGGAAGTGACATTTTGTGGGTTAATTGTAACACTTGCAGTAATTGCCCTAAATCTAGTGGAATTGGGGTCAGCATTTTTCTATTTTCATGACTGTGTTTTTTACTATATTTATGGTGTTGTGGTGGATGTTCTGATTTGGAGATTAATGCGTTGCTGTTATCTTGTTTTTTGTGTTGTGTACTGTACAGATTGAGCTCAATTTCTTTGACACAGTTGCTTCGTCCACAGCTTCGATGGTTCCTTGCTCGAACCCTATATGCACTTATGGGATTCAAGGTGCAGCTGCTCAATGCTCGCCTCAGGTTAATCAGTGCAGCTACACGTTTCAGTATGAAGACGGGAGTGGTACCTCGGGTGTTTATGTCTCGGATGCTTTGTACTTTGACATGATCCTCGGACAGTCTACTTCTGACAATGTTAACTCTTCAGCTACCATTGTTTTCGGGTGAGCAATCCATGTGCTTATTTATTGTGGACATTATAATGGCATGTGATACAAAACCTGGCTTATATGTAGGAATGAGTGCTAGGCCCGAGGTATGGAGAGTCTATAGAAGGAAGGGTAAGAAAGTCAAAGTGAATTGCTGATGTGGCATTAGGTGTAACAGAATGACAGAAAGAAAGGGGAATATGCATTATGTTAGGAATTGGGGAGTGAGGGGAGGGACTATCCTGTAAGTTGTTAGAAGTTTGTTAGGCAGAAAGCTCTAGATTCTCTGTAGGAGCTTTGCCCTTGGTAGCTTAGTTTATCATATGCTCAATAAGACAATTCTCTTGTCCATTCATCTGTGCTATTACTTTCTGTTATTATCATCTTTACTATTAGGGATGTCAATTTGCATCCTTTAGCGGGGATCCCTTGTGTGCAATCCTTGTGCCTATTTAAACTTAGAGAGATTCAAAACATATAGAAGTTAAACCTGAGTCGACATGTCAATAAGGTAGCCTGTCCTTGTAGAGGGAACTACGGGACATGCTTGGTACGACTGAAAGTTAAAGAGAATGTTGGGAGAGAGGAATGTTTTTTTTCTTCTTTTTTTGGTAAATAGTGGGATTTGCTTATCTTTTTTGGTAGTTTTTATATATGTTCCAATGCTTTTGTTAACACTAGTACTTAATATGGATTTTGGTTTAAAATAAAACTTTATTTGATGGTTGTTTTGGCAATAGGTGTAGCACTTCTCAGTCTGGAGATTTGACTAAGACGGATAAAGCCGTTGATGGAATCTTTGGGTTTGGCCCCGGTGATCTATCTGTTGTATCACAATTGTCATCACGGGGAATAACACCCAAAGTTTTCTCTCATTGCTTGAAAGGAGATGGCAATGGAGGAGGCATTCTAGTTCTTGGTGAGATTTTGGAGCCAAGTATTGTTTATACTCCACTTGTCCCATCACAGTATGTTCTCTTCTGCACTGCTTTTTTCATTTTCTTTCCCCAGTTAGTGAATCACTTTTTCTTGATGTCACACAATATTGATATAAAGGAACATACAAGGCATTTCTGAAAGGAATTAGTGAGATAAAATGTTTGCATTTGCATTACTGTCCGGTGGCAATCAATAATTATGAAATTTATTACTTTTGCTTTTGGAAGTAAGTTTTAGGTTAGGTTTGAAAGTCAGGAAATGAAAGGTCATCACTGTCATTTGATCATTTAAAAGTGAGCTGATCAGTCACCTTTTTATTTAAAGCCATGGGCAAGGCTTATGAATTTTTTTTTGGGGTGGGGGGTAATACTATGTTAGTTATTGAACTCCATTGACAATTCCATTTGAATGAATTCTGTTTCATTATATTTAGCCGAGCATGTTGAATTTCTGGTTTTAGACAGTTTCTTGTTACACTAGTGGGCTTGGAAGATATTTTTGGCTTCACCTCTCTTATGGGGAAGAAAATGCTTTGGTTTCTCAATATGACATTGTCTTGAAGGGATATGTCTTGTCATATTGTACTGATTGAGTCTCCCATGGGTTCCTTTATGTTTTCTCTTAAACAAGTTACATCACATGCCACACTCTTGGTGGTTATTATTGAATGGGTTTTTTGATTGAATGCAAAAGGTGATATTGTTAAGAATCAGGTTCTGAAAATGCTACCTATGCTGTTTTTGTTCTTGTCAGATAATTCACACTTCTATATGATATTCTTGCAGTATAATAAACTAGTCTTTTCCTTTTTAATTAAATCTCAGGCCTCATTACAACTTAAATCTCCTGAGCATTGCTGTCAATGGGCAACTTCTCTCAATTAATCCAGATGTATTCACAACGTCTGATAACCGAGGAACTATAGTTGACTGTGGTACAACATTGGCATATCTTGTTCAAGAAGCTTATGATCCTCTTGTCAATGCAGTAAGTTTTCTTGTGCATCACCCAAATCTTTGAAACATTGAACTTTGTTGCATATTATTCTCTTTTGCCTTTTCTATGATGATGAATTCCGCATTGCAAGTAACTAATGAGGATACTTTCTTACTCTTTGGTCTGCTTGTCTTGTATTTATTTCTGTTTCCTGAATCCATTGATTGGCATTTCTCCATTGAGTTCATTTGGATTCTCACACTGCTGTCTTATTTGCCTGGTATTAAGTTTTATTATGCGGATATAGATCAGTTTTGAACCATTCATTGATCTATTCGATACTTGTTTTTGTTCAAAAATAAAATCTGCAAATGCTTTAACGGCGACTTGTATGCCTTAAGATGCATCAACAACAGAACACCATACTGAGATTTATATTTTCTTATGTATATAGTTCTTGTTTTTATATTTTTCAAAGGGGGTTTGGTAGAAAGGCTAACAAATTTTCCTTTTGCTTATTTCTCTTGTATCTTATGAATGATATCGACCTTAGTGTATATTGATCTTGAATTTCCAAATGAATGTATAGGTAAATACTGCTGTGTCACGTTTTGCTACTCCCTTTATCTCAAAAGGAAGCCAGTGTTATCTGGTCTTAACCAGGTAATTGTAAATATACATTTGTTATGAATATCTTTATATACTTCATCTGAAAAGAGAGTTTATCCCGTTAAGATTTTTGAATATGTCATTAAAATTTGTGTTTGTTACATATTCAGTATCAATACTTATTTTCCTCCAGTCAGTTTAAACTTTGCGGGTGGAGCATCAATGAATTTAAAACCATCACAATACCTTCTGCATAATGGTTTTCAGGTAAACATGTCTGTCCACAGCTGGTTATATTCTTATTTCTTAGGTATAAGGAAGTTATTCTTTAGAATTGCATGCCGCTGATTTAGTAATTTGCTTTAACAGGATGGTGCTGCAATGTGGTGCATAGGTTTCCAAAAAGTGCAAGAGGGAGTCACAATTTTAGGAGGTTAGTCGATTGGACAAATTTAAACAGACTTAACTCTGCAAGGAATTGGAAACAAATTAAAATTCTCTCGTTCGATTATAAAATGGTCACCTTTATCATCAACGCTGTTTCTTCTTTTGCAGATCTTGTCCTGAAAGACAAGATCGTTGTTTATGACTTGGCTCGTCAGCAAATAGGATGGACTAACTATGATTGTAAGTTCACCATGGTAACTGTTATCTCTTGCAAAAAAGTGTATACGGTTCTTCACTGTCTTACGATTATATTTACTGTCAGGTTCCATGTCGGTAAATGTCTCGGTGACTACAACTAAGGATGAGTACATCAATGCAAGAGCAAGACAGACAAGCGTCAGCAGCTCAAAAATAGGGACTCTTTCCAAGTTACTACCTGTAAGCATTATGGCTCTTTCAATACACATAATAATCTTCATGAAGTCACCGCATTTATAATTTAAACTAAAGTTCAACACTGAGACCTACTCGAGTTGGCAACCCTTCCCGTTTTTTGATCGGGAGCGGTAGATGTGTTTACTTATGTTCACAAAATGGGGTATCCTCCATTTATCCAATGAAAATGAGGATCTTATTGTAAAGAGAGAACTGGAAGCAATGTACATTAGTGTATCTCTATTGGTTCAGATTGTAATAATATTTATATAGTGCTCTGTGGTCTTCAGTTCTCACTTTTAGATATAGGTGTATAGGATTCTCATAACAATGGATTTATGAATGGTGCACAGATAGTTTTATGATATTTAGTTCAATATACTTCAATGAAGATTATAATTTCAGTCTCCCGAGTGAGAAAAAGAAAGTCATCATTTACATATTTATCTTTCACATTAAACTGCAACCTTGTCTGAAGTGTCCATACATTTTTTTAATGGCAAATAAATTATATTATAGGAGGAAAAACCTAATTATCGGCACAAAGGATGCCTAGTAGGGCACAAGAAGAAAAGGAACAACTACTAAAAACAAATAGTTAGACATGCAAAAAAGGAGAAACGTCCCGAAAGTACAACAAATCCTTCAAACCAAGGACACGAGCAACACCTCCAACAAAAAGCACCGAAAGAAGTAATAAAAAACCTGAGAAGCATACACCACTATGACAAAGAAACTCCAACTAGAGCCTAACACCAAGGAATCAGAACTATTCGAAACAAAATCCTCTAGAAAGAGAAGAAACTCTTTACCCGAGCAAGGTCAAAAACACTTAAGACCGCTATTGATTCAGATTGATAATAGAGTTTTTCAGACAACTAGAAAAAAAACAAGAGTAGTTCGAAAACTTTTCAAGAGACGACTAGAAAAAAAACAAGAGTAGTTCAAAAACTTTCCAAGATACTAATGCTCAAATCCTCCAAGTCTTTCAGATCAACAGGTGAATTTGAGAAAGCCAAAAATCATTCTGGGATTTTTAAATAGACCAAATTATTGACACATTTGAGAAAGCCAAAAATCATTCTGGGATTTTTAAATAGACCAAATCATTGAGTGTCAAATTATAATTAAATTATAGACTAACATACCCGTGCCCGTGTGACCAACCTCCTAGAAACCACATGGGTCCCATATCGAGCATAACCTTGTAGTATGAGATAGTAACCTTCAACACCACTTATCAAGCAAACCAAGCAAAACTAAATTAACAAAGCGATGATCTCTGACACCAGAACCACCCCTTCTGATTGGGTTTATAAATATCAGGCCAACATATCCAAGGATCTTTGAATCGCCTTTCTCCTTTGAAGTTTCACAATCCTTTTCTAAACCTTAACAGAGAAAAATGATAAAACACCGAGATATAATTTATAATAGACTAAGAGCATCTTTAGTGAAATCTTAACGGAGAAAAATGATAAAACACCAAGATATAATTTATAATAGACTAAGAGCATCTTTAGTGGGAGTATATTAAGTGGCTAAACTAAGATATTTTTTGTGGCCTCAAAGTGATGTGTAGGATTTAAAAATTTATAGTTGATTTAAATTGTTTTTACTTTAATGACTAAAAACAAAAACTTGACCATATATTTTATATTTTTAATTGTAATTATTTTTTTTATTGAAGTTACCATTAATTTAATTATTTTAAATAAAATACATAAAATATTCATTAATTTGATTATTTTAAATAAAATACATAAAATGTTTATTGCAAATTTTTTGTGGGTCCAAATTATATAGCATATGTTAGTTATATAATTGTCGGAAACTAAAATTTAGTGAATTAAATGTCATGTCATAGTCATTCCAATGCAAATTCTTTATAATCATCGTTAACTATAAAAAATTTAACTATTAAAAACCTGCATTAAAAATGCTCTAACATACTTATACCTAGGTGACCAACCTTCTAGAAGTTAGACTAATCAAGGGTTTCGTGAAAAACTCAAACTCGGTTTTATTTCTTTAACTTAGATTAAAACCAATTAAAACTTCTTTGATACATGGATTATTTCCACGCACATATCTTGCCATACTTCTTCCCCACAACCACCTTAAAGCCTGAATTCATACAAGGTTGCCTAAATCAACATCTTCTTCTATCACTACTATCATAATAACCCTCCTCATCTTTATCTCAACATTCTTACACATTATTCTCTTCTGAGAAAAAGTTATTATCACCATTAGGATGAGAAAGAAATTTTTGACTTTTTTTGTTCATTATTTTCGACCATCCTTTTTTGCCGACGATGTTAGATAAGGTAGCAACACAATCTTTTCCAACCACACATACAACTGTTAATTTTTATTAAGGTGAACTCCAGCCACTAGACAACTTAAAAAAATAAATAAATTAGAATTTGACCATTCTTATGATTTGTCCAACCTCTCCAAAGCCTCTTCAAACGCCTATAAATAATATACCTTTTTGCCAGTAACGAACTTAAACTCATAAAAAGTAGGTGCTTTAACATTCAACAACCCTTTAAATCTTTCTAAGCAGAAAAAGTCACCTCTACATGGGCTAGTTCACTAATCTTCGGAAGCCATAAAAACCTTTCGATTAACCACCAACTCTGCTGACTAGTATTTTAGATACAGGGAAAATAAGGATCAAATTCCGATCTTAGCTTTAAGAAATTTAGCACGTAGCACTTGATCTTCAAAGTTGAGTAACACCTTATCCTCCCACGTTGGGAACTTTTATACGAAAATTTTCTAGAACTATAAGGTACTAAGTAAGCTTTATGGATTCAATATATATATATATATATATATATATATATATATATATATATATATATATATATATATATATATATATATTAACAATCCTAGAAGAGTCTCTGAGAGCTAAGCAACTCTACTCTAATCAGGACATGCTTCCGTCCATCTGCAACAAACTGAGCTATCTCAAAAAGCATGAGGCATAAGGGGTAAAGTGTAACACCCTAAATTTCAAACACTTAATTTATAAAACATGCAGAATAAAATACTCAAAAGCGTGTCACATTTCTCAGGATAACATTCTCAATTCATGGTAGCAGCGAAAAATAAACTAACACTTCTTCAATTATATCAGAAATAGAAATCAACTTCATTTAATAAAAAAGACCAATTAAGTAACTCGTAGAAAAACAAAACAGAATACGATATTCCCAACCCATTGTTACAATATCAGAGTGACACGTGAAAAAACTAAACAACGCAAAAAAAAAAACAATAAAGAAGACCAACTATGCGATCCTCCAACACAAGTAACAACTAAAGCTCCTCAGTCCTTACTTGATTATCTGCACCACAAGTGTAAAAAACAACACATAAATAAACAGGGAGTGAGAATACATTTACAATTAACAGTGCATAAAATAACAAGGGTAGTGCAATTAACATAAATAATCAATCATACAAATTATCCATAATAATAATCATTCACAAATGCAATTATGTGTGAAATGTATTAATCTCTTATACTCCATTGCATGTGGTACTAAAATTCGTATATTTAGAGGTATGTTATTGAAGCATCCAACTCGTCACTGGACCAAAGTCTTAACTCGTCATTGGACATAAGTCATACCTATCTCTAATACACATGATGCATGAATGCTACACAAATATATGCAATACTCGTCACAACCTCCAACTTTAATATCCGTCATTGGTTCCTCTCGAACCTAAAACTCAACATAAATCATCGCCAATGTAAGATAACATCAATGGTGAAAATTCTGGCAAGCACACGATGGATGTTATTCCCAAAGTTATAACATCCACTGTGACATTAACTACTGTACTAACTAATAACACTGTAAGTAAAAGCAGTAAATAACACATCAATTGTTCACCCAGTTCAGTGTCAACAACACCTACATCTGGGGGCTACCAAGCCAAGGAGGAACTTCACTATTAGCAGAATTAATTCAGAGTCAAACAACACAGTTTGCACTCCTCACTTAAAACCTACCCAATGACACTTCAGCTTAGAGACACTCTAGACCTGAGTATTCTCACTCACTTCCCCTTAATCACATCGTAGTGATATATAACTCACAATTACAAAAATAATATGAAGAGACACTTCATACACACCTTGATCTTGCTTCACAGCTTTGATCAAGGTACACACACTCTTACTTCACAGCTTTGAGTGAGACACAATTTAGAATCTACCTAACCAATGTAATCATCCAACAGACAATTGCTTGGAGTACAAGTATTCCTAAGACTCAATTCACACGTGAATACTAGACTTCTTCACTCACAAGGACTCTGCAATCTGCACTCTCTATTCTTCTGTCAAGAGCTGCTGTTCAGGATTGCTTCTTCTTATATTTATAGTAGCTGTCAGTCCTTTTGGGCCTTGGTGCATAAATTAGGTTTTATTCATAACAAACCTATTTCCAATGATCTGCACGCTTGCTACTTAATTCAGGGATATTTTAGTTCGCATAGGGCTTCTAGAAAATCTCCTGATATCCAGCTTGAGCTCCTATTTGTTTTTTTGTGGTTTATAGCTACCAGAAAAACAAACCTGCGCTTGATGTCATACGACCCAAGTCATAACATTGGATATGACATCCAGCTTAACTTGCTTTTAGCTAAGTCAACTTACCCTGCACAGACCATATTATGTATGCACTAACATCAGTCATGACATACATACATGCTCTAGTGTTTTGCCACAAAGTGCAGCCAATCAAGAGCACTTACAAATTCCCCCTTTGACAAATTTTTGGCTAAAACACTCTGTCATCAGATCATAGATTTACACAGTAGAAGACTTATGATGTGTCATGTCATGCAGGATAGTTACTAGCTCAAGTCTCTCTGAGTCCTCGCAGTTAGCTCTCACTGTTATAACTCACCTTGTTAATCATTTGTTAGTTACCACTACAGATGTCACACTTTGCTGAGTAACACACTATGTTACTCCCCCTCAACTGATGCATATCCTCTCAGCTGAGCACATAACCTACAAACAGTCTGCAGTC